TTAGCCTCATCCTAGCATAGACATTTAATGCCCCCCCTTCTTTTCCAACATTTCTTCTCTTGTTTAATAAAATATACAGACACCAGTAATTTGTTGGACAGTAGACCATCATAAATGAACATTTCTTTGATGAACCCATACATGTGGCTTCTTATATGGGACAGTAATTGGATAATACGAGATATGCGATTGAATGGAAAACTCAAAATGAGATTTGCCCATGGTTTATTACGAAGTGTAAGGAAAGAGCCACACATGAGCTTATAAGAGACTCACATGTCGCCATGCATGGCCATTCTTAAAAGACTTTTAAACTGCATAATAACAACTGAGTTCTATAACCTCAACCTTTCACAAATATTCCTTCAGAAATAAGAAGATATTTGGAGGAAGATAGCCAAAGACAAATATCTAAGTTTTCTCACTTACATTCCCACAACTAAAATACGTAACTGTTTTTCCAAAGGAGACAAGTATCTGCAAATGTCTTTCTTGGGCCTGATGTTAAATAAGAGCAAACCTGGACGCTGTGCTGATTTGAGCAAGTCACTCCGGTGGAATCACTTGGCAGATGCACAGAGACACGCATTGCTTTGGATACAACCCACACCCATCCCTAAGTGCTATACAGGACAGCAGGGGGGTAGAGAGAACTTTCAGCAGAGAACTTGGTGTTACTCCAATAGTTATAAATGTGAATGAGTAGGAGGCTCTAAAAGTTTATGTTCAGAAGACCATCATAAATCAATATTTCTTTGGCTTTGAATATTTGTCTTGAGGAAATATATAATACAATTTATCTTTATTCATTTTTAAAGGACAAGAGAAGCAGCAATTTATAGAAGCCTAGAATATTATTTTGCTCTTGTCTACTGCACTGGAGCTATTCAGATTCTTCTGTTTTCATAGTCCAGTAATTCTTGGAGGAGAGCCAAGAGAACCTGGGATAATGACAACACTACATTTGTTTTGAAGATGGAAATGGAAATTATGTGATCAAAATTGAGCTGTAGGAGTACAATTCATCATGAGAGAGATGCAGGGGTACAGGGGCCCCTTAATAAAGATGACCTTAGTAAGCATTTAATGATTTAATTCAAAAAGCCAATCTTGAAATAAAATTTCAGATAACAATGGTGGTGGATAGGTTGTGCATTTGTGCCATTTAAAGTCAGTTTTATAGATTTAAGTTTTGGTTGTGTTATGAGTTATTATCTGTTTATCCTGTTCTACCCTCCCCCCAGTATTGTATTGTCCACATTGGCATAGCCAAGATCCATTAGGATGTATTTTTACAAATATGTAGACTGATATTTGTGATCTTTATATAATGAAGGACAAGGGAAAAGTCATAAGACTATTTCCCTGGATTTTAGGGAACCTAAATTCTAGGTCCAGTTCCACCCTAATAAGCTCTGTGACCTTGGGTAAGTCACCTAATTTTACTAATCTTCAGTTTTCTCATCTATGAAATGAAGTTGGACCATATGATTTTGAAAGTACCTTCCATCTCTAAAATTATATTGTACTGTCAACCCTCATTTTTACTAATTTGGAGGAGCAATGAGTTGTTGCTATGACACAGTAGATTAGCCCTCACTATTTCTAGTTGGCATGGGAAGTGACAGAAACTGGGCTAAGAGGATGGGATACAGCTCAGGGAGTAGCAAGTGGGTACAGGCTGATAGTTCTGCCTGTTCTGGGTGCCTTTCTCTTGTGCATTAGCCGCCCCCCCCCACCCCCCACTGCTCACACATTCTTGACTTTTCCTAAAGATGAGCTTTAACCTTGAACTCTAGTGTTTCAGTCTCTATAATCACATATTGATGCCTTGGGACTAATGCTTGTAGCCTAAAGACCCTTCTCAAATATATACAAAGACCAGCATTTAATTGGAAGTGTGAGTTTTTTATTTAACTGTGACTTATTTATGTCACATTGGAGAGCTCTTGTAGAATAAAAGTCTGTGCCCTGGACATTTGACTGTCTAGGGAAGTTTCTGGTACTACATCTAGAGAAATGTTTTCAAATGTGTAAAATAAGTCATATAGGATTACAAAAAAAAAACAAAAACAGTTAAGTGAAATATAGTTCCGTTCATTGAAACCATGATAAATTCCATTTTCCAGCTGGATTTTAAACTTCCTGAGAATAAGGTTTATGTCTTGGGTTCCTTGATGTATCCTAGGAGGTGACTGATAAAGTGAGTGGTTAGACAGGCAGGTCTTTAAATGCATCACATTCTTGTCTTTTTTTTTTTTTTTAAAGAGTCCGTCTTCCCATCAAAATGAAAACTCCTTGGGGATAAGGGCTGAGGCTCATCTATAATTGTCTCCAGGTTTCACATGGTGCATCACACAGAGTTGGTGCTCCAATAATATCTACTCAGTGACTGCATGGATGAGCTAGCCTTGTACATTTTCCACTCTCTTCTTGCAACTTATTGCCAATGATGCTATTCTCTGGAGGTACAGGTTGGCCTGAGTCTTGAAGAAGTGAAGGGGAGAGCCAGTTTTAGATGTCAACTTTGAAAGGTCGATGCAGGGGCCAGGAATGAGGAAGCCCACATAGAAAAAGACAAGATGGCCCTGACACCAGGACCACTGATGCCATCAAACGGAAACTGAAGCCATAAACAAGAGAAAACAACTCAGCTCCACCCAAAACAATTTTGTTCTGCCTAAACCTGTTTCCCCCCTGCCAACACAGTTTTCCTGCCTAACCTCTCCTCACCCTATAAAAGGGACATCTCTCCTGACAACGGGCACGGCTTCACGGACCCCCACCTTGGGTCCTTGAGGTCCGCCTGGGGTGCAATAAATTTTCCCTTCCTTTGAGAAATTTAGCCTGGCTCTCCTTTTCTTTACCACGCTGAACCTTTCAAACTTAACATTAAATTGGCAGACTCAGCAGATTGCCCTACCTGGTGTGGGCATGTAACAGGGTGGTCCCCAGGAAAGGGGGAGGTTCCCTGCCCCACCCAAGGGAGGGTGGAGCTGAGCAGGAGGAGGAGAAGCTGAAGAAGGGACTGAGGAAGGAAGCAGGATGGATCCAGGAGACCTGGAGGAGGCGCGTGGAGCCTAGAGACACGTGAAGAAACTGCGCTTGTCTTTTGGTCGTGGACTGGGTGACACAGATGTGGGTGAGACCTGTGGGGAGGTGACAATGGCAGCTTTTATCTTGATGTTGATTTTGCTCTTTTCCTTCCGTGCTTGTCCAGTTGTTTGTGACCCTTTTCTGTGGGTCCCCACTGGAAGATGCTTTAGACTTGTAGCAGGCTTTGGGGCCTTGCTCTGGGCCAATCCCATTTGGATGGACTTTTACCCACAAGGGGACGGGTAACTTTGGGTGCTTGATTTAGAAACTAGATTCTTTGCCTTACCTGTATTGTTTCCTAGTTTTATTAAAGTTCCTTCCCATTAAAGTCTCATATGTTTTGTGTTGATGCGGCGGATGGCAGAACCCATTTAGAATGGGCAGGTTTGCGGGGCTTGGGCTGCCCCTCTCCCTGTCCTATAACAGACAGGCATCATGCCATCCAGTGAGGGCCTGGCTAGAACAAAAGAATGAAACGCTAAGGAAGGAGGAATTCATTCCCTTTTTTTTCTTGCCTCACTGACTGGGCTGGGACAATGTCTGTCATCCTTTCCAGCCCTTAGACTAGGATTTACAGCCCTGGCTCCTCCATTTCTCAGGCCTTTGGACTAGGACTGAGTCACTCCCTGGGTCTTCAGCTGCAGACAGAAAATCATGAGATTTCTCAGTCTCCACAATTGCATGAACAAATCCCTCATAGTCATTTATTCTTGTCCTCTCTCCCTTTCTCATGTTTTCTCTCTCCCTCCCTCCCACCTTCCCTTCTGCCTCCTTCACCCCCACCCCCCATCTCAGTCCCCACCAGGCTGGCCCCTCCATCCAAGCCCATCTAGTCAGGACATGCTATCTGTGAGCACTGTGGGTGATGTCTGTGACCCAGAGGAGGGCCTAGCCCAGTGGGGGAGGGTGGGGCTTCCCAAGAAGGCATACAGGACAGCGAGAACCCTCAGGGTATGCTGTGATCAGGATGTGCTGGGTCACATTGTTATAGGACAGGGAGAGGGTCAGCCCAAACCCTGCAAACCTGCCTATTCTACATGGGTTCTGCCATCCGCCGCATCAACACAAAACATAGGAGACTTTAATGGGAAGGATCTTTAATAAAAACTAGGAAACAATACAGGTAAGGCAAAGAGTCTAGTTTCTAAATGAAGCACCCAAAGTTACCCATCCCCTCGTGGGTAAAAGTCCATCCATATGGGATCGGCCCAGAACAAGGCCCCAAAGTCTACCACAAGTCTAAAACATCTTCCAGTGGGGACCCACAGAAAAGGGTCACAAACAACTGGACAAGCCTGGAAGGAAAAGAGCAAAATCAACATCAAGATAAAAGCTGCCATTGTCACCTCCCCACAGGTCTCACCCACATCTGTGTCACCCAGTCCACGACCAAAAGACAAGCGCAGTTTCTTTACGTGTTTCTAGGCTCCATGCGTCTCCTCCAGGTCTCCTGGCTCCATCCTGCTTCCTTCCTCAGTCTCTTCTTCAGCTTCTCCTCTTCCTGCTCAGCTCCACCCTCCCTTGGGTGGGGCAGGGAACCTCCCCCTTTCCTGGGGACCACCCTGTTACAACATCAGGTATGGGGGATAATAAGTGACTGTCCAGATAAGAGGACAAAGGGGTACTGGGAGGGTCAGGGAGGGGCTGGGCTGGGCTGGGCTGCCCTGATCCTCAGGCATGGCTCTGAGGTCAGCAGAATCAGGCCTGACACTCCACAGCTGAGACCTCTCTTCCTGCAAGCACGATCTGGATCTCGTGTCTCTGGGATGTCAGGCATCCTCAGAGGCAGCATGGAGTCCTGGAATGGGAATCACCTGGGTGCCCCAGGTGCTGGCGGCTCCTAATCCCAGACTCCTTATAAGGAGTCTGTTTACGCCCCAATCAAATTGTAGTCACCGCTTCCCCTGATGCCCAGGTCGGAGTCACCGTGCACTGGCTTCTAGTCCCAGGGACCGGCAAGGAGTTGGGGACCCAGCGCTGGCCCAAGGCTGTGTGTGGCAGGACTCACTGAAGCGGTTAAGGGTGAGTGAACTGCGAATGTGCCGGCAGGCGCTCCAAGTGTTGCCCTGCTGGTGGGCGAAGGGGCAGGGGTGTCGCTGCGAATTTAGGATGAGGTCCCCCCCGAGCCCTAGTCCGACCTCTGCAGAGGTTGTTCCACTGCATGTCCTCATCCTCAGGGCCATTTGTTCCTCCTAGTGGCAGTAGGAGGGATGTTCACCAAGCACCAAGCAACACGAATGTGTGCTGGGGTGGGGTGGAGGGGCATATCTATTGAAGTACATTCTGTTTATGTTTAACACAGAACCCTGACTGTGCAGTCTGGGTAGTGCAGCCGAATAAGTAATAGACACTAAGAACAGAAAACTCAAGATTTCACCCAGTCTCTGCTGTTAACAAGCCAGAGACCTAAAAAACATCCACTGTTTTCTCATGTGTACTGTTTGAGGTCATCTAAGATTCTAAATTCAAATTTTTTGCACTTATGTGAAGGTCCAATGATTATCAGTAGAACAAGCTTGCCGCCTAAAATGAAAATGGTTTTTCGGTATAAGTATAGTTTCTCAAAAAATATGGTAAACTCAGCTTTTGATAAGAGGGTCTAAAAGTTTTCCTGTAATGGTTAATACGCAAAGGGTGTTGATAATTTTATGCCAACGTGGTGGCTCAACAATGTTTACCTCCCTGGAAGATGAATGGTTTGTGTTCCTTGCTGGGGTTAGGGCAATTAGTGGCACAGGACAGCTGCAGCTAATACTCTCTCTTCCTTGAAGCTTGGGCTATCTCTGGGTCAAACTGACTGTGTTTTGCTTTTCAAATGAAACTAGGGAATAAAAAAAAGTCTATATTGTATTTTTGAAAAAAATACACTTAGGGAGAATAAATATTGTAAAAGGAATGCTCGTTAGTCAATCTGATATCAACTTTTTTCTTAAATGCTTATTTCTGTCTGCATGTACTTGCCTTCTGATTTCTGCTGTGTTTTAAATTTCCTCATAGTAGAATGACACCCCTTGAACTGACTGATGCACATTACGATGCTGAGTATTTCAATATGTATTGTTTGATTAGGACCAGTGTTTCCTTTCATCAGAAAGACACTGACAAAGCTTACTAATTAATTTTTGTAGAGCTTTTTGATGATCATCAGCGGTGAAAGGGGCGTTTAATTAGGATTGTAAGTCTTAAAGAGGTAGCAAAAACTTTTGAGTTGATTTATTTGGGCTGTTAACTTTACAGAATTCTAGAATTTAAAGGCTCTTAAATGATAGTATCATCCAAACTTGATGGTATTGAAAGTGTTGGTGCGGTAAAGAAAAGGAAAGCCAGGCTAAGTTTCTCACAGGCAAGAAATGTATTGCGCTCATGGTTGAGATTCGCTGACCCCTGTGGGCGTTGGAGAATTTGCACCAGTTGGGGCATAAGGGCGAGCTTTTATAGGGCAGGGTCTAGCCTTGGAGGAAGGTGGAGAATGTGGAGTCTAAGTTGCTTTTCAAAGAAGTTTTTTTCTCTCAGAACTCTTGTTCTTTCAAAGCTACTTATCAGGGCCCATGCAAACAAGGCAGAGTTGGCTCCCAGGATGCAGGTGGCAGCATTTTCAAGCTCCCCCTCCTCTACCCCATCTCTGCCCCGGCCTCAACCTTACAGGTATAATTCAACTTTCACACTTGATAATGTCCATAAACTCTCTTTAGTTATTCAATCATTTATTTGTTCACTCATTCATGGCTTGATAAAGGGGGCAGCCTAGTATAGTGGTTAGCAGCATGCCTTTAAGATAAACTCCTGGTTTCTCCATGATTAACTATGTGGCCTTACTCTGTACACTTCAATTTCCTCATCTTTAACATGGGGATAATGGAAATGCCTAGTCCACAAAATTTTCTCAATGATTCCATGAGGTAGGATGTGCAAAATATTGAGGAGTGCCAAATAACTCAATAAATGTCAGCCATTCTTATTAATACCATAAAGGGTTGTTATAGAGATTAAATTGATGGTGAATTTAAAATTTTCAGTCTAGTTTCTAGCACACATAATCCTTCAGTGTACATGAGCTATTAGAATGGAGTGTTATATACGTGGAATTTGGGGACCAAAAGGTCAATAAAAAGTCCAAGGGTTTTTGATCCTCTCCATCTTCCTTTACATGTTATTTCTCTCTAGGAAGGAAACTCGGCTACAACAGCACAGCTTAGCTTCTTTCCAGGTACAGAAAATGTCTAGAAAATACCAAACAGAAAAAGCCCAAACAGTTCAGGAGGGCCTTTTTTTTCCCCCCAGATCTGTTGTTTGGAACTTATCCCATGGGAGATGAAGGACAATGAGCTCATCTTTATTTAGACACCACACTAGGGAAAAGAAAATGATAGATGAGATGGGGTAGCGGTGGGGAAATATTGTTGGAAGATAGATTTTAAAAACTATTTTAGAAAGATAAATATCTGGATGGGGATTGACTGGAATTAATGAGCAGTCTGAGGAAGGAGATAGAAGAAATACTAAATGCTACCTAAATTCCCAAAACTAGGAAGAGGGAGAAAATTAAGAGGATGACTTCCATACATAAAGGGTAATGTAAAATGGAATTAATCATTTCAAAAAGTAGCACTGCTATGAAACATTTCTGGGGAAAAGATGAGAAAGTTATAGTTATTAAGAGTAGCTGAGATAAAGGATGATATAATGAAGCAAAATCATGGTTTTGCATGTTTTCCCATGGAAACTTTGGCCTCAAAATCTGCATTTAATGTACTGAAAATCTAAACCAGTAAGACTTAAAATGTTTATATGCCCATGATTTTTAAGTAGATAAGTGAATTATGTGAACTTTTATTATAATTCTGTTACACAGAAGATAATCCTACAGCCTCCTCCACTTTACAGTTCAATGTGCAATTCTTGCCCAGGACTTTCTGTGTGGAGTAATCTAAAGTCTCTATCATGCAGCTGATGTCACAGTTTACTTGATTCTAGTGGATGTTGAATTTAGTTGCTCTATCTTCTTAACTAATAGCCCTTAAATAAACAAAGAGATCATAAATCATCATGTTTCTTTAGTCTTTTTGTGAAGATGTTATTTATTTGCCACCCCTTTAATTATTGAGATGACTGTGAAAGTTTGCAAAAATTCTCAAGTTGTGGAATGTCCCACGGAGGTCTGACCTGCATGATCATAACATCTGTAAATTAGCACATATTATTTTACTTATGTCCTAGATGACTAAGGAATTATTTGCAGGAATATGTACACTTTCAGATATGTATCTTTTAACACATTTCTTTGATACCTCCAACTATTACACTGTGTAAATCTTTTCTAATTTTGCTTTCATTTAGTTCCCCAGGAAGGGACCTAAATACTGCAATTCTTTTTTTTTTTTTCACTTTGTATTTATTTTTTAAGTTTATATCTCTTACATCATTGTGTATTCCCCATAAAATTCCTACCACCAGTTCACCCAGGAACCATCATCATAGTCCCTGTGCTTTTCTCTCCCTGCCCTGATCTCTTTCCCCACCCTTCCATTGCATAATATGTCTTATCTACAGTAGCCTGCTAGTTTTGTTGTTTTATTATCATTATTATTTTTCCTGATCCCTTAATTGGTTCCCCTACATTCCTCCTATAAGTGAAACAATTAGATATTTTTCCTTTTCCTTCTGGCTTATTTCACTGAACATGATCCCTTCTAGCTCCATCCATGTTGCTGTAAATGACAAACGTTTATCTTTTTTGATTGTATATATGTACCACATCTTCTTGATCCAGTCATTTATTTTTGGACATTTGGATTGTTTCCATATCTTAATTATTGTAAGTAGTGCTGCAATTAACATAGGGGTGCAGGTATCTTTTTGAATTAATGTTTTTGTGTCCTTTGGGTAGATTCCTAGGATTAGAATTGCTGGGTCATATGGTAGCTATATTTTTTAGTAGTTTCAGGAATCTCACACAGCTTTCCATAGTGGCTGGACCAGTTTGCATTCCCACCAGCAGTATAGAAGTTTTCCTTTTTCTCCGCATCATCCTCCCCAACATTTGCTGTGGCCTGTTTTTTTTTTTTTTTTTTTTGCCATTCTTGCTGGTGTAAGGTGGTATCTCATTGTGGTTTTGATTTCCATTTCCCTGATTATAAGTGATGTTGAACATTTTTTCATACACCTGTTGGCCATTAGCATTTCCTCTTTGGAGAAGTGTCTTTTTAGCTTCTTAAATCATTGCACCTCATCTTATATTTTCCTGTTAGCATCTTGGTATATATTCCCATTTAACTGTTTCATTATACTTTTTTACTATGATGCTCTCCTTTATAAATTTTTGGCTGTCTCTCTGAGAATAAAGCATGTTTATCTACTCCCCTGCCCCTTAATAGGACCTAAGAAAGATTTTGTTTTAGTAAATATGGGAGGTCACATTCTTGCAGAATCCTCAAGGACCATTTTAAGAAGTATTTTCATCTGCGTGAATTTTCTGCTTTGGGTTTTTTGTTTTTATTAATTGCACGTATAGTTTATTATTAAAGGAAACTGTTACTAAGTACTACTCTTTCAAAACCCTCACAGACTGTATTCTGGTAACTTTTTTTTGGGGGGGGGTTGTGTATGGATTTTGCCAGGTATTTTATGGTTCCTTATAGCATTGTTCAAAGAATAAAAAAATGACAAAATAGGCTGTCCATGTATACCTCACTTCATATAATCTGTATCAAAAGAAAAAAATGATGAAAAGACGATTCATTTATTTTCCACAACATCTCCAACCAACACTATATTTTGTTCTGTGAGCCTATCGTTGGGTCCTAGCAAATACCTGTTCAAGGGTGTCAGTTGAGGTTCTTCTCAGACCTGATGCTCATGTTTCAGGTAGCTCTTTCCACGGCAGCATAACCCAGCCTGAATGTGGGTGATGAACCGAGTCAAAATGCTACCCACATTGATTTCCTGTGAGACTCCATGATTACTTGAAATACTCAAAAGCATTTGGGAACACTACTATGTGCAAATACTGGCATTCTACCCAG